GCAAGTCAACAGAAGCAGTGGTGAAATGTATTTACCTTGGACTGGTTCTGCTAAAGCAAGCAAGGCCTCCCTGTAGGCACTGGAAGACTGAAGGTCAGAAAGAACACTCTTGTCAGAAGCCTCTTCCTTCTTCCTTCCCTCTCTAGATGCTCAGAAGACAGATGAAGGAAACACAAATACAGCCTGGTGTAGGAGGCAAGGTGTCTTATCACAAAATGCCTCCAACCTTACTTCTGTGGATCCCACTAGAAATCAAGGGAAGCCTGCAGAGGCCTCCCAGGCTATGTGAGTTGCGTTGTCATAGCTCAAAACAGTTCCGTGAATCTGTTACACCTCAGCAGTACCCAAAGCCTGTTGTTCCCTGCACACCCACACTGCCTGCTTGTCTCTCTCCTTATCTGCCTAGTTACCTGTTCTTTAAATGCCCAGAGACTACTCCACCCCTGACAATACACGCACATACACGTACACACACACATCTTTGCATAGGTAAAGGCTGCTTAGTGCTCCACCAAGACTCATCTCAGTAGTCACTTTCTCTGGCACCCCTGACACTCTCCCAAACAGAAAACCTCAAATGGGGCTTCTTGAGGTGGTGTGGCCTTCTGGTTCACCGCAAGCCATTCATCCTGCACCATGATTGTCTGAGAAAGGACCGTGTCTTAAACCTGATGTTCAGAATGTCTGTCGAATTTAATCTAATGTAGCTTTGCAGAGAACACTTTGATTGACAATATAAATTCCTGTAGACATATTTGTCAGTGCTCCTTCTGTAGGGAACTGGCACCGTCACCACCATCCAGTTACTCAAGCCAGAGACTGGCCTGTCCACCATCCAATCTGTCACAAGCTTCTCCCCATGCCACTTCCTACTTTGTAGTCTTGGGGCTTCTCATCTCTCACCTGAACTATCTCAGGGACTCCTACCTGGTCTTTGTACTGGAAATCCACCTTCACTGCACTGTCACTGATCTCACTGAAACAAAGGCCTGGCTGGTCACATCACTCTATTGCTTACCACCACCCATAGCTGGAGCAGGCCTTCCCATCTGGCACCTTAGCCCACCAGGGAGCCATGTGGAGAATGTGTGGTGGGGATGTTGGCACCTCCTCCACTCTCGAGGCAGTTGGACAGGACATAGGACTTCCCCAGATGTGACATCTAGCTGCAAGCAGCTTTGTCTATTTACCCCAGTACCTAGACAGATGCAACCTAGTCATGTGATATGACTAGAAGCCAAGACCCCAGCCTCCTAGCACCCCACTCCCATTTCCCAGCCACATCTCACGCTCATAAGCTCCACTCTTGCCCTTTAGCCTGTAGCTTTGATGGTGCAGCCCCAGGTATGCAGCTGCTTGCTACCAGGAGATTTGCTCTCCCACTACCTGAAACATCTTCCTACTTTATATTTTAAATTTATATTTTAAGATTCTCTAAATATAAATTTCCCATCTTTTCTCACCACATTGAACTTTTCCAAGCTAGCTTGCTCAAATTAATCGGAAAGGGAACCACAATAAAAATGGATCTGATGCATGTTCATGTCATTCAACTGATTTAAATAAACCCAGTGTAGCATCATGACTCTAAAGCCAGAAAGAATCCCTTAAAGAAATGAACGTCCAGGCTCTTAGCTCAGCGTCGGAATAATTATCAACATGTGCTCCATTTCCCTCCTGATTCCTTCTGGCCCACTTAAAACTTGTCATTTTTCAGAATTAAATCTCAAGTTTTGCAAAGGCTTATACTTCAGGATGTAGAATCAGAGATTATTTTTGCTTGCTCCTGAGAGTTATGTATGGAGGAGATCGCTAATTAAAATATCTTGGCGTCTGTCCCTGAAGGCAGTCTCCTCCTGCCACTCCAAGAGCTTTCCAGCTCATGTCCTTGTTACTTGTCAGATCCAGATGAATGTGAGTGACAAGGAGTGGCAAAGTGAAGAGGAATGCAACCAGGCTCAAACTGAACAAACCCACAAACAGCTGTTGCAACCATGAGACGCAGCATTTATCACATGTTATTGATTCAAGAAAAATTTATTGACTACCTACCAGGTTACTTTTCTTAATTAGGTAATGTATGTATGAGTGTTTGCAACATTATTCTCTATGCCTTTTTGTTATGTCTGAAATATTTTGTAACAATATTTACCAATGGAAGAGTTTTCCAGTTGAAATGATTTATCCATGTTTCAGTGAAAGCTGGGAGAAGAGTCAGCCTCCTGGGTCTTTCTCATTCTTACTGAAAGATGCACTCTTACCAGGACAGTCTGATGGTCAGGAAGCAGTCAATAAGTTGAGTGAGGTCTTTAACCTGAAGAGTTAGTGATTCTTAGTGTGCCACAGTATTAACAAATAGTGCTCTTGTCAATGCCAAAGAGGTATTTTTTCTTCACAGCTAAAAACGTTTAGGTCAGGACCCTCAAACATTCCTATTTACAGAAGAAAAGAAGAACGAACTTACTTTTACTGAGTACCAACTATGGGCAATTAGAATCATAATTATGCTTGTTCTTCATCAAGGGTGTTTGTTTCTCATCAAATTCAATATTCATAGAACATTTTTATTTCAAGTCATCTCACTCTGCAAGAGTTTTGAGAACCCATTGAAAACATCCCGTGTAAATAAAACAGGACTGCTGTCATTGAAGCACTTGGTAAATCCTCATTGTCTCAATCATTAGACTAAGTCATTGCTCAGCTGTAGCCTATGGCCTAAAAAAGAATATGCAGACCAACCATTCCGCTGATTTCCTCACCCTCTCCCATCAGACAGATGCCTGTTTGAATTAGTAGACCCAAATAACTCTGTCCTCTCTTTCTTCTTCAATTAGAAATGAGAAAAAAAATGTACAGAGGTTAAGCTAATCCCTAAAGGAATGCCACACCAACTTGTAATCAAGTCATCCCCCAAAATGATGGAACTGGCCCATGCAGAAAAACTTTCATCATTCACCCACCCTGGCTGCCATGATTAAATATTGAGAAAGAGGCCAGTTAGCCTTATGGGAAGAGTTACAGCTTGGATGAATCATGAGCTGTAAATAACCATCCACATTTCCCCCTTCTGCATCATTTCCCTTATGCCGCCCTCCTTCACAGAGGAGAACCTACGGTGAAGTGAAAAGGGATTTAAAGCTAATCTTAAGGAATCTGTTTGTTTTACAGAAGGTAGCAACCACTGGGGCATGTCAACTGACATTCCCTGCCCTTCTTGTCAAGGTAGAGCAGGGAATCACTGAGATTATAAGTAGGAAAGTGTTCGAAAGCCTTTAGTGCCTCCCATTACTGCCAACGTCTCTGAGCCTGGTAGTGGCAGGGGTCTAGTTTTCCTGATTCTCAACCCTGCTAACTGTACTACATGGCCTCTTTGTTACAGATAAGCAGAAGTGAGACTCCCCAAATGCTTAAATCATGTGGACACAGTCACAAACCACACTTAGATCTCAAGGCACTTAAGTCAAAGTCTACTTTCCAAGGGCAGCACTGAAACAATGACATGACTACCTCAGGCTGCAGATACTAGGGTGATTAAGATCCAAACACAACAATTGAAAAAAAAAAAAGCCCCAGTGCCCCAGCCAGTCACTATTACGCCCTGTACTTTATTCAGTTTACTCAAACAACTCGGGATTTTCCAGCAAAACAGAAAAAAATCCAAGTTAATACTTTAGCTGTCATGAATGTGAAAAAAACATAAATGTCTTTGACAAGCATTGGCAACATGCTGGGTTGTTGAAAATGTGAGTTTGCTTTTGTCTATTAATGATAGTCTTTATATAGACTGTTGTAAGATATAAAAATTATAACTAAATAAAGCTGTTAAAATTTGATGAATCTGAAGTTGAAAAACTTATTCGTAAAGTACAACACAGGACATCTTGAGAGAGAAAATACAATGTTTTACATCTGAAGCCCTTTATTGACTACAATGCAGAACATTTTATTTTATGACACAGTGGGTTTTGTTATTGTTGACATTTTCACCAATTTAACTGAAGACAAAAGTCAAGACAATCAAATGGTAACTAGTAGCAGATAAATGAGAGCAAGCATAGAGATTGTTCTTTGGACTGATGTTAAATCAATTAGTCAATAAAGGATTTTCCACCGTCAAATAATTATGACGTATTAACAGTCGCCAAATAACATTGGATGGGACTCCTCTAGAAATAGCTAAAGCCTTTCATTTTATATATGGAATAGCCAGAAAATGTAGATGGCTTACATCAACTCATAAGATTTGCCCATCTTAGATTGCTCTGAGATTCAGAGAAATAAAAATTTCATCATATGTTATGCAATAGTTTCTTCAAATACCTTCTCATGCTCAATAAAATTAACATGTCATCCAGGCACCCTTTAATCTCAACACATGACATATAAATGGTCACATCCATCATACACACATAGATGATTAGAAGACTCAAGAAATATGCAAGGATGGCAAGAAATCACTTGATTCTTTGGTTATGCCCTAGTGACAAATATACATTACTTGGCAACCAGCCAATCAATTTTGGAAATAATATTAGCCCATGACCTAATACATTCTAACAGCCTATCCCTCATTTTTCATGCATCATTAGGGCCGGTCACCAATCTCCTGCCATCTTTCCCAGGCATACATTCCTTTCTTTGGAAACCTGAAATGCCCCTAGATAAATGTGCCCTTCTCCAGAGAAACACATTTCCCACTCAATTACAAATCCTGACTCAAAGCTAAAATTAATACAGGCAGGCAATTGAGGGTTCTTAGAAAACTTCCTTAAAAATGACAAATGTATGTGATGTTAACACTATCCAATGTATCTGCATGCCACCATATTAAATTAAAAACACCTGGTGTATTTATACACGTTCAGTGGCTTACAGATTAGAATCCTAGAAACAATACATGTCGTATAGCAAAAAATATACATATAATAATCCCCCTATAGTTTATATAAATGATGAAATGTTTTTGAATATATCTATATATATACACATATATACTCTGTGTGTGTGTGTGTGTGTGTGTGTGTGTGTGTGTGTGTTGACAGAATCAGGCACACAAATACTGCAGTCCTTCATTGGCTCTTCCGCTTCAGTGTCAAAGTCACCAGGTTTCAAAGTCTTAAGGATCAAAACAAAGGTCACCGCTGGGGACAAAGGACTGGCTTGATGCACCTGCCTTTGTGAAGGACCAAGTTTGCTGGACAGTGGCAACCGGCAACGCACGGCTTGTTGCAAGGACCAATTTCATTCCAGTTGTCACAGGTCTTGACACATCCTGGGCCACAGGTATCGTACACAGCACCATGCTTACACTGCGTGGCTGAAGAACAGAAGGAGACAAAGGCATGACATGGAGAAAGGCCCCATTAATTTACCCTCAGCCGGATGCCATTCCTGCAGGCTCATGTCACGGCATAGACCTTTCCATAGCACAGGCTCAGATTTGCATTTTAACAAGAGAATTACAAACATACAACACTCCTCACACACTCTGGGAATCACCTACATCTATAAAAACAAATGTAGCTAGATCTGAATAAGAATTTATCTTATTCTGAGATAAGATAAACTATAAATGTGTAAGTCTACAGGAAAATCTTTAAGGCTATTTAGTTACTGTACAAATAACTAAATAGCATAAAACATCTGCTGCAAATAGTCCTTTCAGCTATTGAGCTGTGATGAATAGGAATATTTTGTGCAACTACATTGATATTCGAACATATGAAATTACACACAAAGAAAAGACCTACCAAGGATAGTGGAAATGTGTGACATATTTTAATCAATGTGGTTGCGTGTTAAATCAATAAATTTAAGGCATGTTGGGGCAAGATTGGGATAAACAAAATAGAGAAAAGTCAGATGTGTGATGCAGGGAGGACAGTGGCTGGCTGGGTCAGATGACGTTACCATGTCACAGCCAATTTACTAACTTTATTGACTTAGACACAAAGTGATTTTGACAAAATGCTGAGAGATCCTGAAAACTCCTGACTAGACTTGTCAGAAAAACATAATGCAAACATGCTGGAAGTTTTGTGACACACAGACTTTTCCATCTGAGTTATATCTAGTGACAGTCCAGGGGGCCACCCCTCATTTCTCAAGAATAGGAATGTTGACACGAGCAGCAATTTAGAGCAGGAACTCTCCAAGAACACCAATAACTATTCAATCTTCATTTACAGTTGCTTTAAACAAAAGTAACAACAATGGAAGACATTCTCAGCTTAAACAGCTCTATTGTTTATGCTGTTTGGAGAATAATACCTGGTGAGGAATCATGTAATTGTAAAATTTGAAGGTAGAACTGGTTTGCCAGCAAATGAGCCTCACTTTGAGTCTTTCAAGTTATGCATTTAGAATTCCCACAAAATGTTGGTGTTTGGTCATATTTAACTAACAGAAAGTTAACAAGCACCATAAAATAAATCCTATGAAGGTTTCTCAAATATCCATTACACTGGTTAAAAACAAATGAGAGAGCACCTTCTATCCAAACAGTAATCAATGACCTCTCATCACCTCTTACTTACTATTCAAAAAGCGAGTTGTATAAAACATAACATTTAAATAAAACAGACTTGACTCTGTAATGAACATTTTTCTGTATAGACTCATATTAAGCACTGCCATATTACTTATGTATCCCTGCTTCAACTGTTAATGAAACCATTGACTCTTAGTAAACACCTGCTCTGAACAAAGCCCTTATACAAGATGATTTGGGGACAGAGGTTAATGACATGGCTGCTGTCTGATACACCAGCACAGGGATGAATTCGTAGCAGCTAATTACTGTCAATGATATGGAAACACCCCATGTAACCTAAGCCTTATCGATTCCTATGCCTAGCTCACTCTCAGCTTTCTGCGGTGCCTTTTCAAAGGTAACTTCCTATTGAAAATAGCATTTTCATATTCCCTACCTCTTTCCCTATTTATATCTTCTTTACACATACCACTACCTGACATTGTATCATATTTACTCTGTCTTCCAACACTACAATGTAAGCTCACTGAGGGTGGAGATTTTGTCTGGTCCCTCACTATATCATTAGCACACACATTTTCTGGAACATGGCGAGCATTAGATATAGAAGCTAGCAATAAATATTTGCTCAATAAAGCTGTTATGAAACAGACATAATCACAACAGAGAGGGGATTGGAATTTTCCATTTGCACCTCAGGATCTGTCCTCTACCCCTCTTTACCCTGTTCTGTGATCTGTGCCCTTGTTCTTTTCTACAGATGACATCAGCGGACACCCTTGTGAATGGTGGACTCCAGTGCCTCGATCTGGTGCCATTATTTAGCTCAATGAATGTCACCACCATTCACCCCATCTTCTATTCTTCTCAACTGAGTTTCCAACCTTTTCAACTGAATTCCCACCTCATCCGTGTGGATGAGATGGATGTTCCTTGACTGATATGCAGAGCACCTGCTGCTTATCCCATCACTGCATCTACAACATGAGATTGTAGTCACCAGTTTCATCCTCTCATACTCCTCTCTCTCTACACACACACCAACTAAAATATAGGCTACTAGAGGGGAATGCTGCTCTGTTCCTTTATTTTTCTGCAGGGATATGGTGTTTAACATTTAGTAGATACACAGGGGACTATTGAGAGATTGAGTGGACGGGTACATGGATGAGTGAGTGGGTAGATGGACATAACCCTTCCTTAAACTCTCTCAATTTAGGCTTCTCTGGTAATCTTTTGACTTTTCACTGATCCCTTCAAAATCCTCTTCTCTTCTCAGTGACTAACAAAATACCCTATACACTGCATATACATCCAAGCTGAGTATCATATTTACACACAGTAATTGTATTCATGTATTGTTATGCTTTGGTAGACTAATGGTGGTCACAACTAGAAGTTAGAATCACCTGGGAAACTTCCTGATGCCCAGACTTCACTCCAGATCAATTGCATTAGAACCCCTGAAGGTGGGATCAGGATATCGGTAAGGAAACAAAACAAAACACTCCCCTTTTCCTTCCAACCTTGCCCCACACTGGTGATTCTAATGAGTGGCTGAGATTGAGATTTGATCCTGCAAACAAACCCTACATTTATGCTTCAGTCACTCAGAGACTCATTCCTTCTTAGCAACCGAGAAGAAAACTATTTCCAAAGTAGAATTAGGTCCTACGATTTCCCAACCTCTTCTACCTCAAGCCCTACTGGAACACTTCACCGTCCCAGAGCCCTCACCTCTTTTAGTGTTGGATTTAGGTCATCTGCAGGAGCACCCTAAACTCACCCCTCACTGCCTCTTCTCATGTGCACCCATCCTGGATCTGCCATTCTTCTTTTCTGCCCCATCTCTTTCAGAACTTGCCCTACTCTTTGTCTGTCTCCTAGCACAGTAATCTTCTCCCTATCTATTTAACAACAACCACAACAAAAATATTCCCTAAGCCATCAGATTTATTTTCTTTTTCCTTTCACCTCCAGACGTTGTGGAAGAATGTAGTCTTGTTAGCCTAGTCGCCTGCAATTAATGAACGTTGACAGCTCATCTTCCTCAGCCAGCCCTTGGTCGAAGCAGTTCCCTCCAAAGCTTTCCCTGATGTCCATATCCACTGACATCTTGGCAACTCCTGTTTTCCCAAGACCACTCTGCAAAATATTTGGTCTTTGTGTCCATTTTATCTTATGACACGGAACTCTCCTGGTTATTCTGTTGACTCTTGGAGAAGACCGTCTCTCTTGGGTTTCTTTGCCTACTTTTTAGCATTAAATGTTCACATTACCTCCTGGAATCTCCCCTTGACATTGTTTTCTCTTATCTCTCTCTCTTCCTTAATTAATACAGTTTTATCTCTTTCTTCCAGTTAGAGACCTCTGAAATCTGTTACCATTAGTTCTGATTCTTTTTCCAGTCTATCCATTTTATTATAATGCAGATGTCCCCTCCTTCAAATAGTTTCTGGATATCCCCCCCAAGTTGCCTTCTCTCTGCAACCCACAGTACTTTTCATGTTATAGTTATTGGCTTATTTGCTTTAATCCCCCAATTATAATACAGCAATTGTTCTTAGTCAGAGATACTCATAAGAGTCCCCTGAGGTGCTTTGAAAAAATATTTATTTCTCAGCTCATCCCTAAAGGTTTTTGCTCTGAGTCTGCAGTGGTATCTGTGTAGCTATTGATTTTAAAGGTTCTGGGGGTCACTGTGACAAGCACCCGCAGTTGAAGAGAACATATCGCTGAGGCCTGGGCTCCCGAGGGCAGGATTCTTATCTTCTGTAACCAAAGGTTCTGACACAGGGACAGGCACGGGGGAGCAGCTCAGTGCATACCTCCTGGATGAGGATTTCATATTAATGACATTCAATCCATCATTCCTTTTTCCAGTGTGGATTTCATTTGGGCAGTCTTGAGTTCGTTCTCCACCCCGCTGCTTCCAGAATCTCTCTTTCAACTCACCTTACCCTATAGAGGCTTTGCTCCCCTTTGAGTCTTGCAAGGATTCCTCGTAGTATAAAGACTTCTCAGTAGCATTTCTTCTTTCCTATCACATTCTTTGTGTTTCCCTGACTATCCTCTCGCTATGAACTCTCCCATGTCTTCTCCTCTCTCCGACCTCTCAATTCTGTCTTCTAGTTCTATCTTTCAACTTCTTCTGAGGCATTTTACCTTCGACTACTAATGACTGGTATGTCCCTCACAGTCTACAAGTCAAAAGTAGACTGCAGAAAATGAAAACTACTAGAGACAGAGAGAGAGAAAAAAAAAAAAGATCTTTCTTTCTTGTATTATCCTTCCTCATCTCCAATTCAATTCAGAATAAATCAATAAACATCCACGGAGTATCTATGTGCCAGGCTTTCTCTTAAGCCTGGAGAATAAAATGTGATCAGTTATCATCTCTGTCCTCCAGTTATAGAAGGTTGGGCTTATAACCAAATAGGTAAAGCTGATGTATAAATACATTCTTAATAAAATATAAGATGTGTCACATCAGACAATGAGAACAAAGTACAGGAGAAGAGTTAAGAGAGAAAGACATTAGCTCAGCGCTGAGAGTTGGGTAGAGATCAGGGAAAACTTGAGAGAATGGATCCTGTGTATCAAGTGAGCAAACCTGTCAGACAGACAATGACAGGAAAAGCTTCTCAGATACACAGAAGAGCAGAAACAAAGGTGCGGGTGCAGGCAGCAGCAAGGTACTGTGGCTTAAACAGAGAAGGGTGGATCCTTGGTTTGGGGGGTTGGAAGCATGGACCTTGAGGAGGGTGAGCAGCAGGAGATAGAGGCATAGAAGTAAGCAGGGGTCAGAGACCACAAATGACCCCATGAGCCTTGGCAAACAGAAGCCTTGGGATGTTTTAAGCTGTGGAGTGACATCATCAGATTTGCCTTTAATTCAGCACAACGTTTAGATGATCCTAGAACACTAACACTACCCTGAACCCTCATTTACCCTCTGTGAATTCAGTTGTTTTTTCAAACTTGTAAAAGGCATATGATCATTTCTTAAAACATAGGTGTAATTTGATTTGCACACATGCATTTTAAAGGATTTATTTGGTTAAACAGTGTAACAACAACAACAGGGATCTGCCAAAGTGGTTAGAGTTAGAGTGCATTTATTCTCCAAGGGGCATTCCAACAGCCATAGGTGAAACATAGAAACATTGTGTGCCAGCTTTATCAATACATTCAAGCAGCATGGCTCTGTGACTTCCGGAGCTCAACCGTCTCTGCATCCCACTACAGGATCCTGAAGGTCACAGTATCTGACTTTATCTCTTGAACGTTTACAGGAAGCATCCAATCAGTCAAGAAAAATCTCAGTGTATATAAGTAGGGCAGAGTTGCTGCAGGGAAGGAGCTAGAACCATCTGGGGTTTGTAGAACCAAACAAAGAAGGAGGAAACTGTTCACAAGCCCAGCAGACCATCCACTGTGTCGCAGAAAGATACAAACGCCCATGTTTCGAGCACCTTTTCCACGTATAAAATGTATTACTGAATGCGCAGTGACAATTAGTATCAGTAATAGGCAGGTGGCAGGCATTCTGCTAAGGACAACAATGTAAGAGACAGCAGACAAGATCACAACAAATTTAGAGTCAGAAGGTACCGAGTAACAACCACCAGTGACAGGGAACAAACAAACAGAAATTGGAAAGTCACCAAGGTGACTACGATTTAGCTACATGTTTGGATGAGTTAGTTGACACTAATATAAGCACATAAATATGCATTCTTTTTTTCCCACCATGCTCTTGGGTCTTTGTGTTCTCATAATGATTAATAAAATGTGATCAGATATCATCTCTGTCCTTAATCATAATGATTAAGGATGGGGCAATGATGCAAGTTGACCTGGGTGCAACTCCCAGCTTCCTCACTTTCTAGCTCTGTGAATTTCAGCAAATTACTTAACTATTTTAAGTCTCAATGTCCTTATCAGTAAAATGTGAGTAATATAATGTTACCATATAAAGTATTATTGGCATTATTAAGATAAAATATAGTATAAAATGCTAGTATAGTCCTTGGGGAAAAGGACATGTTTAAAAAGGGTGAATAGTAATAGAAATGATTATTATTAAACTTTTACATACTTTCACTATATCTCTTAGCATATTACATTTTATTTAGTAATTTGTATGCTAAATTAGTTCTTTATGCTATAGGTAGTGGAGGCATATTGTGTCTGTAGTCATAACATTGTTTAAAATCCAGGCTAGACTTTAAAACGTCACTGGTTCATTATGAATTTCTTGCCTGACTGACTTCTTATATGTTCAACTTCCAAACTTTTTCTGGGGAAGATTTCTCTTCTTTGCCTTATGTGGCCTTAAGTGCTGTCATGAGTCAAAAGACCTAGGAGCTATAGCTATTATAGTCTTCAATATTCTAGATGAATCTGAACTGAATCTACTGAGAGATGCTACAGATCTCTGTAAATTTACTTCTTCATGTACCAACTGTCAGTCTCTGGAAGTCCATAAAGTGTGTGTATGCATGTGTGTATGTGTGCGTGTGAGAGAGAGAAAGAGTGTGTGTGTGTCTAAAACATTCCCCTCCCACTGAACTTCATTCGATGAAGTTATACTTCACCCAGATGGCTAAACTAAGAAGTAAATGGAATCTTTCAGGAGCCATATTCCTTTTCCATTAGAAAAGTAATTTTAGCTCCAGAGACTCAGTTTCTGAAATCAAGATGCTGACTTGAAATGCGTAGTCCTCAGATGCAATGTGTACACTGAAACGGTTTTAAGTATAGCTCTGGGCCAGGAAGAGAAGGCTCATATATCCTATATCTAACATGATCACAACCACAGCACTACCACAGCTAAAAATATTAATAGAATTTTGCTGAGCGCTGCATTATACCAGGATAGATGGCTGCATGGGTGCTTGACTTCATTTATTTATTCATTTTCTGGTAGATTCAAGGAATGGGGGATTCAAAATAAAGGGTGCTAGGAGTCTTCAAGATGGCTAGAAGGACCCAGTTCCTCAAAAACCTTACTCTTGCATATTCTACCCAGCACTGATGCATTAGGTTACAGGTTGGCCATTTGCCTCACCTTTCAGCAGCCTTAGCCACACTGTAAGTGAATTATTTTTATTGAATTAATACCTCTCTGAGAAGGGCAGCATTGATAGAACAGCTCACTTGCTATGGAAAGGTGAACTCTGATATAAAGATTGGACTTGAGTTTGCAGAAGAGAGGGCACAGCCAAAACAGAAGGCAGAGGAAGGTGAAAGGGCTTTGGTGCTTTTTGAAAAACACAGACTAGTGACTGAACCAAGGGGCAGCTGAGGAAGCTTCAGCAACCCCCAAATATCCAACATCCTATGTTCCCGAAGCCACCCAAGTAAACACACAAACTAACTCAGGAAATTCAACACTGGCTGCCATGTCAGAATCGCCTGGGGAGTTTTAACAGGTACATAATGTCAATTGAAACAAGAGGTCAGGGCATAGGGCACAGGCTTAGGTTCTCAGTTTATTTTTTAAGCTCCCAGGGTGATTCCAATGTCCAGCTAGGTTATGACTCACAGGTCTCAGTGAATGCGATATCTGTATACTGCAATCACAGCTTCAAGGCAATTCTTCTTGACCCTTCTTTTAACGAGATGACCACTCTTATCTTCAGCCAATGTAGACATTGTGGAGTCAGCCATGGCATGAACGGCCTTCTTTTCTGAGATGTGAGCTAAAGCTATTAGGACTAGGATAGTATGCTGAAAATCCCAGTCTTTATTTCAGGCAAATCCAGCCATTTAAAGATAAAAATTTGCCAGTCCTTGAACTGAATGACAACTATTCAGCCATTTCGCCTTCAAATTTTGATTGAGCATCTTCTATGACCTGGATACTCTTTGAGATGCTGCACCCACATATCACTAATGTTTGTAACTACATATCAGGTATTATTGTAAAATTGCAAATTTCCAAAATCTAGACTCTCTTCCCTCCTCTTCACATGCACAGCCAGCAACTTATTCCAAGCCACCATCGGCTTTTCATCAGGACTATCACAATAGCCTCCTGCCTAGTACCCTGGTTTCAATCTTGTCCCCTTCCAATCTATTCTCTATCTAATATCCAGGGTCATCTTTGGGAAGCAGAAAGAGGCATGCTTAAAAGCTATCAGAGGCTTCCACTTCTCTTGGAATAAAAGCTAGACTCCTTTCAAAGCCTTGCCAAGTCCTTCATGGTTCAGCTCCTGCTCCTACCCCACCTTCCTCTTGTGCCCTTCTTCCCCTTGCCCACCAGGCTCAAACCACACTGGCTCCTCTCCACTTTGAAAGCAAGCTAATAATTTTTCTCCTGCCTTATGCCATCAAATATGTTTCTTCTGCATAGAATGCTTGCCCTCCCTTCACTTCTTCAGGGCTAGGCTGAAATATCACCTGCACAGAGAAGCCGCCCTCTTCAGCCCATCTCAGCCCTCTCCAATTGTTTTGTATCACTCTGCCCTGTTTGTTTCCTTCCTCATACTTACCATAATTTGCAAATATTTATTGTACAGTTATGTTTCTGTCTGTTTCCCCCACTAGGCTGCCAGTGCGTCAACGACCAGGGCTTCAGCTCTTATATTCATAAAAGTACCCACAATGTTAGCACAATGCCCAGTACCTAGCCATTTTGTAACAAATATTTCTTGGATGAATAAAGGAATCCATTTTACAGATATCAAATAAGCTAATTAACTTGCCTGAGGCAAAAGAGCTATTAACAACTATTATAGGAATCTCTCAGAGCGAAAAAAAGAAAAACATGCTACTAGGCTTTGTATAACAATCTCTAAAAAAAAAAAAAAAAACTATCATGTTTATCATGAAGACCTTAAATGACTGTAATTGTCCCAAATCTCCTTTGCTTCACACATAACCTAAGCCACAGCTATGACTGTCCATGAGCTAAGTATATCCAGCTGGTAGTTTGAGGTCGAGAGGATTTTGCAACAGTGGAAATCCTTAAATTGCTTAAATATGCTTGTCACAAAGCATTTATCTTAAGTGCTGTCTACCTTGCCCAGCTGGGCTATCAATGGGATTTTCCTTTGGCAAGGGGGCAAGCGGCCATTCACATCAGCATCCACAAGTTTCCTCCATTGCCATCTTGGGCATTGCAGTAAACTTCTGATGGGTGGACCCACCAGGACTTCTTACCTGCACAATTCTGCTGAGGCTCCCAGTGGACTTTGATGCCCTCTCTTTGGCAGGCCCGGGTGTATGCCAGGAATGACTCACAGTAACAGTTTTTATGGACTGGACATTCACACATGTCTGTCACACAGGACCTATAGGACCCAATAGAGAGATACAAATGTTTAAAAATATCAAGCCATAAATACTCTAAATGTAACTTCAGAAAAGGCTGTAGTCGGGGAAACCTGATTGGCTTATTAAAATTTGCTATTTTAGGTTAGAAACCTAAATTGGCAAAATTCTGCATGAAACTTAACTACTGGATACCTCTGAACAATGTGATACTAGATTTTCTTTCTTCTGGAGCAATATTATCCAATAGAACTTGCTGTAAGGATAGACATGTTCTGTCATCTCTACTGTGCAAAGCCACTGTCCATATTTGGCTACTGAGTGCCTGGAATGTGGCTACCGAAACTAAGGAATCAAGTTTCTAATTTGCTTTAATTTTGATTAACTTAGATGTAAATAGCCCCACGTGCCTAATGGCTACCCCACTGAAATACCATTGCCATCTTGTGACGAACACTGATATAAAACTAACAGATTTTACTGCAATGTTTCCAAAAATGGTGACCAACTTGATGAAAACACAAAATCCCATAGCTTTCTGAAGACAGACAATTAGAATTCACTTCTGTAATATCTTAGAATCTTAGTCTTTTAAAGAACACTGAATCTTCATTCTTTGGAATGTAAAGTGACAAATTCTAAATAAAGCAAACATTTCAGGGCTCTAATTAGACTGCACAATAAACAGGATTGAATCAGCCTCCACAGCTGAAATATGGAAATGATGGACCAGGACATAAATTGAACTGGAATGTGTGTAAATGCAAACTAACAAATTTGTAAACATGTTGACCACAAAGACATAATAATGGCCTCACATTAGTATATAATATTAGTTTACAAAATGCTTTCACATCCAGCCTGTCACTGAATAGTAAACAAGGCATAGTACAGTTTCTTGTTCTATAAATGAAGGGGTCATTTTACAAATAAATACATGGGCCCAAAGTCAGCACTTTGAAGTGGAAAAGAGCAAATTAAATTATATCTCCCAGCTTTGAAAGCAGTGTCCTTTTTATTATACCATACAACAACTCTCATCTTCCCCTTCCAGCAAATTTACTGCCTAACAGTTGCAAATTAACACTTATGCAAGAGGCCTCCAATATTAATAAAATTAAACTATCCTTATATTTTTCATAACCTTGTTCAGCAAACTCCCTTCCTCACAGAAGCTATTTCAAGGCTGAACACAGAAAAAATAATATCCAAGAGTACAAGTTGCACTTATGATCTTGAAAAGTGATCATGACACTGCCATCGGGTGTTAATAATGTCATTTTCCAAAGGTGTGGGACCTGTGTCAAACAGCAAAAAGCAGATTCAAGGAGCAATAGATCCACAGTGAACCCTCAAAGTTATTGCAGCCTAACACTCAAGGGCACAGCTTTGGGAAATAGGAACTAACAGGGACAAAAGAAGAACAGATCTAAAGAGGCTTCTTCCGTGTCATGGACTGAGAGATTATTTGGTGAATGATACCTAAGACACAATAACCAGGACAGAAAAAGTGTTCTTTTTTTCTTCGTAGTAATAACAAAGTTGTGTTTGTTGTTTGTTTGCCTTGAGATGGAGTTTTGCTCTTGTTGCCCAGGCTGGAGTGCCATGGCACAATCTTGGCTTACTGAAACCTCCACCTCCTGAGTTCAAGTAATTCTCTTGCCTCAGCTTCCCACGTAGCTGGGATTATAGGAACCGGCCACCATGCCTGGCTAATTTTTTATATTTTTACTACAGACGGGGTTTCACCATGTTGGCCAGCCTGGTCTTGAACTCCTGACCTCAGATGATCCACTCACCTCGGCTTCCCAAAGTATGGGATTACAGGAGTGAGCCACTGCACCTGGCTCAAGGTTGTATTTCTTAATACCTTTTTCCACGTTTATTACAGAAACCCGGGAAATCACCTTCACTAGCAAATGCATTCAGGCACTAAACACCCAGTACTGTCTTTACACTGGGTAGAGCCTCTGGAATTCCAAAGAGAAGCCAAATAAAGCTTGCCCTTAAAATAGCATCTAAACATCAATGAATGAATCCCCCTCAATGCCATTTCCCTTTGTTGTTTCAATTTTCATCTCAGAATAACCCACACCCACTGTATTCATGCTCAGACTTCACAGCAACGTTTTTGGCTGCCCCGGGTTCTAACCTCTAATGCCATTACTGCTTCACTTTCCCAGTAGAATTTGTTCCCCACCCTCTCTCCTGGCCCATGGGGGTGGGTCTCTTTCTATATACACAGCTCCCACTGCCAAGACATGGATGGAATGCCATCTCATGGGCCTAGTAAAATGGCGGCACATATATGGGAAAAGGCTGGTCTCAGTGTGAGGAAATGTGTCCTTGGATTTGAACAAATGCCTATGGTATTTCTGTAAAATTCCGTGGACAATAAACAAATAAAATGTAATTTATTTGGATAAGGGGATTGTTGGTGAGTGTTTTCCTTCTTTTCTCTTGATTACCACTTGCCTTGTGAAGCTATTTACACAATTGAAGATATAGACAGCTAAATCCAATTCATTGAGACTGTTGAGAGAGAATGTTTTAAGCACACATTTAATAATCACAGTGTACATATACTTCCCTTCACCCACAGACAGGCCCTTCTGTCTCCACAGACACAATCAATGATATGCCTTCGCTATAAAACTAAGGAAGATTTGACCTTTTTACATGATTAAGCACTCACTCAAGGGAACAACAATGAGAGAAAATTTTTTTATCCAAGCCAGTACTTTACTTGAAAATGTTTTATATATTTTTAAAGGCTTGAAATATGTGTTTTGTCATGGAAGTTAAAAATTCAAGTGTTGTTTTTCACTTAGCAAGCTAATGATCTTTACACAAAATCATGAACAGAGTTTATGAGAGAATGGAGAAGTAGCCAGCCCCTGCTCCGCTGGCAGAGGTGTGAAACTGCCAGCTCTTACGCAAAGTGTTTTTCACGGACTGTCTCCTCCACTCCACGCAACAATGGGATATGAGGCAGAGATTCCCACTGCTTCATTTAACAGGTAGGGAAACTGAAGCTTGAAGAAGTTAACTTACTCAATGTCACATGGTTGATCATAGATCCAGAACTGCAAAGCTAGGACTACATCTTGGTTTTTTCTGATCTCAGAACCCATATTCACAGTAACTATACATTAGATCTTTCTAGAGAGTCACTCAATTGAGTAATATGGATAAACAGCCCAGAGAAGGTTCTTACTCTCTGATGAAAATTTTACACCTAAGGAAACAGTAATGCACGTGAACATAGGCTTCAAATCTAGGAATTTTCATCACAACGCTATTTACATTGAAAAAGAGAAAGGAAATAACCTGAATTGTCTATAATAAGGGCCCAGTTAAATAAATTCAGATGACTTCTATGATGAAACACCCTACAGCCATTACAATGATGTTTTGGAAACATATTTTTAAATATGAGAAAATGTTCAGGAAGGATTAACTGGAAAAAAAAGGATAATAAAACTGTGTTTCAACATCATGTAATCACACAAGGAAAACAAGAATAACTGAGAACAGATACGACCAAATCCACCAGCCAACTCGGGGTAGTGGATTGGGCTTCTCTTTAATTTTCTTACCTGTATTTTCCACAGTGAATACATATCACTTTTCTAAAAAGCTAAACATCACCAGTTTACTATTACGACTACACAAAAGAATATCATGAAAGATATTAATATTTAAATCAGAATTTAGGAATGATAGTGAGAAAATAAAGAATGGGAGAAAATGAGAGTGTCTATTTGTAGGTCTTAGTTATTCAACATTCCTCCGGCTAAAATCTTCCCATTCTGTGCCCTGGCAGCCTCTTGAGATAGACTTCAGCTGGACTCACTTTGCACTGCCCTCACACTTGCATTTCATTGGCCTGCTGCTGTGGTGGTGGAATAGGTCATGGAATAATTACGCATGCTTCTGCTGCTTACAAAGGTATTAAGAGAAAAGTAAAAGCATCTTCAAATGCACTTCAAATTTTAGGGAGGAACAAAACTATTATTCAACTATTCAATTCGTGTTTATCACACTTAATAATTCAGTGTGAGGAAAATCTAATTTGTGACACAGTGAAGTTTGAGTTTTTCTGTGTTTATGGAAGATTGTTGTCCTTTCCTTAATCAGTATGCACCCATAGTCTACATTCATATTGCTTTTATAGAATAAGTAGCAGAATTTTATCACTTCTGGTAGTGAGTAGATTTATGGCTTTGGTGTCTCCAGTCTCATAACATTGTTCTGTCACAATTACGTTCTATTTGATGGTGAGTTGGTCAGGAGACACAGCCGCCCACTGCTCCAGCGGGAAAACACAGGCCACATTACTCCGAGCTTTTCCAGGAAAGCTCTGCAGGTGAAGAGAGGCTGCCTGATTCTTCGGGTTTCTATTGCAACAAAATTGGCAAAATAACAAAGGAATCAGCCCAATGCAATTCCTTTAAAGCATTCTGTCTGTCACAGGAGTTTCAAATTAATGTATCTAGAAATGGTTTCGTGATTCATCTGCCCTACTCCTGGCATCTTGCCTGGCAGCCAAGAGGTGCAGGCAGGACTCTTGCTCTGTGTGGTTAACACAGCTGCTCAGTGCCACAACAAGGCAAGAGGAGTCCCGGAGCTGCTGCAGAGGCCCAGGGAGCTGGCAGCAGGCTGGGCAGCACTTTCTCACACACCCACTACCTCCCTTCTCTCAGTGTTTGGTGTTTGTGTGTCATGTTTCGAAGACTCCTTGAAGACATATTTTACCCTATTCCTTATAGCACTCATCCCAGTAGTGGGATTAGAACTGACCTGTGGTCAGTTCCCTCACCGAAATCCAACTAATCACGATTCAGCTGCAGAGAAGCCTTCAGAACTCTTTTCCCGCATCAAACCACAACTACTGCCTCCTGAAAACGTCACACCAGAAACCATTAGCCACGTGTGGTTATTTAAATTGGAATTTAAGTTAATTACCATTAAATAAAATTACAAATTCAGTTGGTCAGTCCCATTGGTCACATTTCAA